CTAAACGTGTTCTCGCGTGTGACATCGCAAACTTTTCTCAGGGGTCCCTGTTCCTGTAAACAGACTCACGCCATGTATCCCCACCGCCAGACTCAGAAAACTCCATTAGCGTAGAACGAGTGTTTCGGACATTGCGTTGAAACCAGGACTTTCAAAGTAGAGAATAAGTCACGCATGAGCATGCAGTTGAGGAAGTGGCAGGTGCATCAATTCATTAGATCGTGCTACGTGCCATGTAGACCTTCATCCATCCTGTTGTCCGAACCCTAGACTCCATACTATGCAAGCCGTGTTGGTATCTTCAAGTGGTATCGTAGATCTACTCGTCGTCCTCATCGGCCTCGTCGTTGACGACGTTGAAGAAGCGGAGCTCGTAGACGCCCTTGGAGGTGGAAACGACACGGAGCCAGTCACGGAGCTGCTGCTTCTTGAGGAACTTCTTGGTGCTGTCAAGCTATTAGCCAACATCCTTCCCTCTGATGCGCCAGGTGTTCAACATACAGGTACTTCAGGTAGCGGCCAGAGAACTCCTGGTGAGCAATGACCTCGATCTTGCCATCGCCCTGCTGGCTGATCTGGATGGTATCACCAAGGTTACCGGTGCGGCCCTCAACCTTGATGCGGTCGTGCAGGAACTTCTCGAAAGCCTGGATGTCGAAGATCTTGTCGTTGACGGGCTGCGAGCAGTTGATGATGAACTTCTTGGTGACCTTTTGGCCCTTCTTGGCGGCAGCGGAGCGCTTCTGTAACTTGAGTACTTAGCCTACTGTTCTTGTGCGCGTGGGGTGCTCCCTTGCGCTGGACAGCAAAGCGGTTGTACATACGGTGGTGGACATTTTGGCGGTATAGGGAGGGGAGCGCAAAGAAATGGATATCCTGCGTCTGATTTGGAGGGGTTGGAGAATGAGTGAGTGTCGCGCGGTGCGCCAGAAGTTCGAGCAGTTCAAAATTGCCGGCACGATGGTGGGGTACTAGACCCGAAGAGGCTAGTGGCGCCGAGTGTTCGAGCAGCTCGGTACCTGAGGTCATCATCATCGTTGTTGATGCCTCCCAGCAATTAAACGCCCTGACTATTATTCCTGCATTTCGAAAGTCAATAACCTCCGCGCATGCTTTCCATGAAGGGCGCGACACGGCTGTTACATTCACATCACGAGCCAGCCATCCTCGTCCTTCTATGCGAGCGCGATCACTCGTCTGTATATTTTCCAACAGTCAAACACGCGTAAGAAACCCATTACACTATCGAACAGACCATCTTCCGAGACGATTGATATTATGTTATCACATCTAGCGTTTCTATTTTAGTTCTACTGCCACGTTCTAAGGTCTGCTACCGAGGCCATTACATTCCAAGGTTCACTCCGTCACCCCATCTGCATGATACAGCGCTATTGAGAGGCCGAGAGCCTAGGGAGTAATTGACCAGATATCGTTGAGCCATTATTGTAGACGTGCTTGCCCTTATAAATGACAATCTTCCTCAGTTTCGGCGGAACCGGTTGCGCAGACGCGAAAACAACCCGCTTTCGCGATTGATTTCACCCTCGGCGTCCAATGCCTCCTCTTGCATAGAGTCGATGAAGTCGTCATTCTCGGCCTCCTGCCCCTCATTCTCGAGCCGTGAAACCGGCTCACGTGCGCGAGCTTGACACATCTCTGCACGGCATTGCGGGCATGCGTTCGCACCGTTCATAGCTGACTCATTGACCCAGCTGTCTAGACAGACTTGATGGAAGTAGTGAGCACACTTCGTAATCACTGGTCGTTCTTCGTTCTTGTTGTCTTCGTGGACATCGACCATACATACGGCGCATGCGACACCCTCAGGAACGCTCTGCACTGGTTTGCAGAAATCCTCGATCAGAATACGCTCGCCAGTCGGTTGAAGATCGTCATCCATGTCCGAATTGACATCATCGTCAGAATCTCCTAGGTATGTAAAGGGAAGTTCTATGGTGCTGTGCAACATCCCATCCTTGTAACCCCGACTTGCTTCGACAAACTCGCGGAAGCTCATGTTCGAGCGGCACGTAGGTATGTGCGCTTGGCTCATAGCACTTAACACTTGTACTGTCACGGGCTCAAGGAAAGCTGAAACAATCCAAAAGACTTCTCGATTAGTTAGTGGAGGCAAGCTAGATACTTCCCTGAAAGCTCGAGGGCCGGAAAGGCGTCGACCTTCTAGCTTTGCTTCGCAGAACGTGGCGAGTTCTCTGAGATCCAACTCGCGGAGTGCGGGACAATCACGACATTCCATTTCCAAGTAGTTCTCCAAGTCTTTACAGTAACGCTGGATCTGCTCCGGAGTCGGATGTTGTGTTAGGAAAGCCGTCAGAATGATGGCAGTCCTCTCTAGTGTCGCGAAGAACCAGCCGACGTTTTTTGCCGATACCTGGGACACTACTCCTGGTACCACGATAGCCAGGCTAGGAAAGTATCTGTGGAGTTCATCGAGATCGGCGCGAGATCCTTCTGGAAAGAGTGCGAGGCTTGCGTGCCGTAACCAGCTCATTCTGAGTCCGGAGGGGGTGGCTGCGTAGAGAAGTAAGCGAATCATACTGAATCTTGTGTGTAGGTTGAGTTAGAGTTCTTCGGGTGTGTTGATGATAATGAGGAAGGGGGAATAATAGAGACTTTTGTGACTTCAAGGTGACGAGTGCAGGTGAACGTAGAAAGCGTTCGTTAAGAACTTGCAGATCAAAGGTCAACGAAGTCGCCGGACTGTATAGTAGTGAAAAGTCGCGAAGAAATGATCTAGGCACATGTGCGCACGAAATAGTAGGCACGATACTGCTGCCTCGAGGTTGGTGGCAAAGTGTGGTGAATTAGGTGCCGTGAGAAACTGACTCTCTGGCCGACTCTGGTACAAGCTTTCATCCAACAGTATACGAGGCATCCCTTGACTTGACCACCGCATTATCCATCCGCAGATATCCCGGTTTTACCAGCTTGTTTCGCCGGTTACATGCTCTCGTCTGGGGTTGTTTGCACGTTGTGCGTCGAAAGATTACATCTGGTCACTCTTAACGTGCGCCTTATGATACCTTGATCGCAATATTCTGAAGCAAAAGATCTTCCTTTACCTAAATGTTGAGCAGAGATTATAGATCGCTCTCGCTAGGCGACATATTCAGCCGAGTTGCCTCTGACGCTAGAGTGCATGCGCGCTATAGGTATTCGCAGCTTTCCGCCTTCCTGCTACACGAGGCCTCACGGTAAAATACGGAAGATAGAAGCAATTGCTCACTTCCAAGCTGGCTTTTCGACGTCTTTCTGAAGCAACACCGGGTGTCGGGAAGGACCCCTGGCACGTGTCGAGATCAGCGCGTTCCGAAAAGAGGATAGTGTCTAAACTGTTCCGAGACCCGGTAGCATCATCGCCTGATGCGATGCGATAGGCGGATGTCCTTGCATCGCCTTCTTGACAACGACATCAAGATGGCGGATAACAGATGCCGTTGCATCATATTCGGACCGCATCGCGTGTCAGGCGTCCAATGTGACAGCACTGCAAGGCAGACACGAGTGGCTGCCTAACGCGGCGCAGTATTCATATGACAACCCGCCTTAAGATTGCGTCCATCTCATATATTCCTTCCGTCATCCATCGCATACCTCTACCGAGAATTTTAACCATGCTCTTCTCGCCAGTGATGCGCAATGCCGTTCTCCAGGCAACCGCCATCTGCACCGTCTCGCTGCTCTACAGCCATTATGCCGAAGAAAACATATTCGCCGAAGTAACGCAAGATGAAACATTCAAGACACTTCTCAACCTCCTCACCAATGGGACATTGTCCAATGCTACCATTCCTGGTTTAACAGATCAGACTGGCCAATTAGCAATCGATGCCAAACCCACGGTCAACACCTCCGACGGTACCTCGTTCTCCCTTGCCCTCCAGCATGGCAACGAAACTAGAACTGGACTCAATGGAACCAATGGCATCAACGGGACTGCAGGTAATGAGGTACCGGAATCTTTCTATCGGCGAAGGTTGCCAAGAGAAGTGATCATTTCACTAGCGCTCGCTATACTGCAGTATTGGTGGCTCATTGGCCTTGAAAGGATCTTGCCTGCTCGACCGAGATATCGAGATGCCCCAGCGCAGCAGAAGGAGCAAATTGAGGAGAATGAAGATAGAGAGGAAGAGGTAGTGAAGAAATGGATCGCACAGGGCAGAGTACATCGAGCGTCGTTAAACTGGCGTAATACTTTTGTCAAATGGGTGCTCGATATGACAGTTGGCATGGTGTTCATATTCACCGTGGAGCATATGCTTCGGCAGCTTCTCAAGATGAAGTCACCAATGTTGATCTTCAAGGGCTTGGGCGAAGTGAGTTCTTATCTTCATTTTTCGGCATGGCATCTCACTAACGTGCCGACTAGCACCTTATCTTCAACTTCCTGGGCACATTTTTCTCCGTCACTCCGCTTGTTCGTTTACTTGCCTTCATCCTCGCTCCAGCCTACAAGCAGATAATCTTTATCGAAGGTATCCAGCTAGTCTGGACGGTCTTCGCCTTGCAATTCTTACGCATAACAGCCTCATGGGCGGTCAAAACGGAGTTTGCCCAGACCTTCATGCAGAATATGACCAAAGAGCACGAGGCAAACATGAAGTATCAACAGTATAGAACTATTCGGGACAGAGAGCTGTGAGTCTGCAGACTAGCAAAGACTATCATTCAATCGAACTTTCCACCTCTACACTACCGCCAGCTTGGCGTTATGGGAATAATCGTACTCAGTTTCGTCTGCTATGTTTCCATCAAAAACTGTCTTTCCTATCTTCCCCGACTTATCTTCATAATCCAACCACATGAGCGCTTCCTTCACCAGATCTGATGGCCCGGCAACGGTTGGCACATGCCATTGGTCCGCTCCTTGGCTCACAAAGTTTGCATGTGCACTATCCTGTGCCTGGGCGATGATGCGCGCGCAGTCGATGCGTGAGAAAGAAGCCCGAGGCGTTGCAGGAAACTTCCCTTTGGATTCAGAGGTCCTGGTCAGAGTTGACATCGATGCGCGAGGTGTGGCCGGAAGTGATTTGTCGGATGGTAGGTAAGGAAGCCGGCGGTTCATGTACCAGGCTTCCCAGCCCGTTCTCGACGGCGCTGGCGCTGCTGGCGTTCGGAAGGCTAGTTTGGAAGTACTCTTCTTTAACTTCGTTTTGGGCTTCAGGCTCGGAACTGAAGTCTTTCTGCAAGAACCTTTGGGTGCGTATGTTCGTGTCTGTGATGTCCTGGCCGCTAGTCGCTGACTCCACTTCGCAATATACTCAGCGAGCAAATTTAGGAGTTCTGCACACTTCTTGCACAGCCTCTCACCCAGTTTTGGTCTCGCTACCCGGGGGTTGGGCGTCTCCACAGGTCCTGACCTGACGTGTTCCTCATAGGCTTCATCACTCAAGACTTCAGACAAAGGCACGTCTCTGCGCCTTGTTCGCGTCGTCATACTGGATGCATTCTCTGATATGGTGTGATATTCGCCGGCTGGGAAGAACTCATGGCGATCACTTCTGAATGACAGCTCTCTAGGTACCGAATTGGTCTGCGTTGTAGATGTAGCTGCGCATGTACCGATGGAATCAGCATGATGTGAGTCTGCGGTGTCTTGCCGCAGCGCTGCAGAACTTCGCTGGAAGGGGATTGGGGGTGCCGGCCTCGGGTTGTCCAGCCAAGCTTCAGCCTTGAGTTCCAATACACTGTCGCTATCTTTGATTGACAGGGAATCACAGTTCGTAAGTGACCTCTCAAGAATTGGTTCATGTCTCGACCTTCGCATCTCTAGTAGAAAGGGATTACTAGTCTTTGATGGCGTCAGGCTGTCAGGGCTCTTATGCCGGGTATTGTATGGTGGTTTAGAGAACTCACCTGCACGAACTTCGCGGCGATCTACCTTCCTATGTTCCGTCCTTAGGAACTTTTCGGCGGTACAAACATCCCATGACTGAGGCCAGCGATCTTTTCGGAAGTTGCGGTCAACGGGTGAAGGAGGTGAAGTCGTTGTCTTTGTGGAAAGCGTGCTGGAGTTACGGAACGTGCGAGGCTGATAACCCGAGGATTGAGATTGACCAGCTAGATCTTCCCACTCGGATCGCCAGTCTTCGTTTTCCTCGCCTTCATGCTCCAGATCTCTTTCATGACCGGCACCGCCCCTCAAGCCAGAGTCTGGGTGGTCACCAGTACGGAGGGTTGTTTCATTGCTGATTCCAGGCCAGATGGTGTTCTCCGAAGATCTCCTAGCTTCTATTGGCGGCTTCGAAGCGTCGTCTTGATACGTAGATGTCGCATTGCTTCTAGCGTAGTCTTCCTCAACGAACATCGCTTGACAATAGTCGCAGTGCTCTCGATGTTCGTCCAGCTGCATAGCCCAGACTTCGCATTGAGCACCTCTTGTATACTTGTAACTTATGGAGCGCTTGTCTCTGAACTGAGGATTCAGTCGCTTAGTATGTTGCCAGTCAAAGCGGCTGATGCTGTCGTCGTGCCGTTGAACGAACTTGGCAGGGAACATGAGGCGGCCCAGCCGTATGCTCAAAGGACTTTTCGCCGTGATGATGGCCTCGTTTGGAAGCAAGCTATCAGTACTTGGTGCCAGCGTACCATAAGATTTCGGAGTGATAGGCGGGACACCTGGTGCAGCAGGCAACTTGGGATTTTGTAGCGGGAACACTCGGTTGCCGTGTGCATCATGGTTCCAGTACTCAGAATCGCTACCACCGCCACGAACGGATAACAAACATGGTTGCTTCACTTCTTTCATCTCAGAGAACCTCTCACTGTCATTTCCAGGATGTACCCGACACGTACAGAACTTAGGCGAGCTGGTCTCAAACTGGTCTTTGACTGCGTCGTTGAGCGAGTTGATCAAATCACCAATATCTTCGTAGTAGTCTTGCTCTTCTTCGCTCGATGCGGTTCTGACCGAGGTACTGGTAGACGACTTGGATGCTTTTAGATCGATATCAAGCTTCGTTAGTAGCTTCCCGAGAACGTCCACATCTTCCTCATGCACCTCCCATGTAGCTATCTTTGTTTCGCGATCCAAGTGACAATCACTCGGAACATCGCATATGCTGATAGTGACACGCTCATCGCTAATGTTCTCGGGCAACTCTATACCCATCTCTTCGCGGATCTTCATGATCTCCAAGACGCGCGCGATATATGGGTCGTTGGTGAGCGATTCTTCTCCGTCGTCAATTTCAAGGATGCGACAGATTTCGGGCAGTGTCGACCTATGAGGAAACTGGTATAGGTGCGGAGAGGCACCAGCAAAGACGATGATGGATTTTCTTGGATAGAAGTCGAAAGATTTCGCTTTGATAGTGACACACGCATGGGAAGGGTCGGAGGGAGATACTTGTAGAGTCGTGTTCTTCGCAGATGTCGCCGGTGATGACGGATCTTCGTTACCGCCTCGCATCGTTCCCAGGCCTGGCGATTCCACAGGGATTTCGTCAGTCAAAATGGCGTCTTCCTTATCATCCGTGCATACCGTACGAGATGTAGTACTCTCGACTAAAATCATCAAGCGGGTCTTGAGAACCTCCAGTTCTTCAGCGATTGCGTCCTTTTCTGCCAGGGCTGTATCCAGCCGCTCCTCCATCTCCACTTGCACGTCCATCTGCCAATGTAGATCCTGCATGAGACTGTGATTTAGCTCCTTGAAGCTCTCGAGTTCGCATTCCAGAAAGCAGTTGCGTGTTTGGAGTACATTGGCCAGAGTCATCCAAAAATCTCCACGTTGAGAGGTTGGAGGGCCCACACATAATGTCGCGGCCTCTTGCATGAGCTGCTCAAAAATACTGCTAGAATCGTTGGCTGAACGCTCGTTCGCGGTCGATCGGTCGGTTTCGTAGCCACTTCCGCCCCGGATTTGCGCGCCGGCTACTTCTCTTGTGCGATTCGTGAGAAAGAGGTTGTTGTCATTGACCATATACATATCACCTTCATCTCCGTCAAAGTTCCAGTCCCCACCCGTCAGGACATTCCAGCTTAGTCCCATGGTCTCCCACCAGCTTGCGATCGCGCTCTTGAACACCTGCTTTGACTGTATCTTGTGGAGCGCGACTTCTTGCCAGTGTCCATTTCCACAAGCCTTCTGCTTCCAGGCTTCTCGTTTTACGAACTCTTCTGTTGCTCCTGTTGGGAAATAGTAGATTGTCGCGGCGCTGTGGAAAACAAGCTCGGGTTTGTTGGTTCCGGGAATGACGAAGCCTGGAGGTAGGTATACGAGGATATAGTCGATGGTTGAATCGCCGACCCGAGTTGCGGCTCGCTGAAAGAGCAAATGTGGTGAGGCTGGAGTGAGAGTAGGGACGTGGCTGGTATCAGCATGCTCGCGACTACCATTTTGATCAACCTCCTCTCCACTTCCACCACGCAGACTTGGTTGATCCTCTTTCTCCTCTTGGCGGTCTCTCGATCGAGAAACACTGTCCCGGTGCGCGGTCTCCATAAGCGCACGCACCTGCTCTTTCAAGAGCTCAACCTGCTGTCGCAATTCCCGGATGATTTCTTTGTCGCGACCACTACTCTGGCTTCCATTCATACCCTCCTGTTGCGACGAAGCGTCCATCTTATCCCAATTCGTGTACCCACCATAATCATACACGAACTCTTCGTCTTCGTCTCTCCCACCCATTCCACCTCTTAACATTGCATCCATATCTCCACCATCAAGCCCATCTCCACGCTCGCCGCACGTACAGTATGGCCCGTCGTCGTCGTCGTCATCATCATCATCATCATCATCGTCGTAATACTCCTCTTGCGCTTCGTAGATAGTACTGAGCATATCCGCCAAGATCATCTCCTGTCTATGTAACATCTCAACTAGCAGGTCGTGCCATTGGTCTTGAGCATCGCATCGGCTTGTCAAGGCTCTCATTCCAGCCTCAGTTCTTTCCATACGATCCTGGAGTCGGAGTATAGCCATTTCCGTTTCGATCTGTCGCAACGTATCTGGACAAGTTTGCTGTGAACGTCTTCCTTCCGGGCTGGGCGCATTACTGCGCTCGAAGTGGCGTGACGAACCAGAAGCGTTCGTCTCAGTCATCGACTCGTGCGGAAGTCTGATCTCAGCTCGATGCTGACCAACAGGTGCCCGACCGCTCCTTGCACGATTTGCATTCCCTTCATTGTGGCCTCCCCGCCACAACCTCGCCATGCCTTCCCAGTCCCCCTCGAAGTAGGCTCCAGACGACTCATTGCCGTCCGTCACGCCAGCAGCATCCAAGACTGCTTGCAGAATGGCATCTAGACCCTGTAACTCCTCATGTAGATGTCCAAGACGGCTTTCTATTTCCGTTATCACCTCGCGCTGGGCACTGTCTCGGCCGTCCAGACAGTCCTTCAGCGTCGTGTTATTATCTCGCAACATCGCGTTCTCCTCTCTTAATAACCTGATCTCTTGATCGGCCAAGCCGAGTTCTCCTTCGAGTACCTCTATCTGGGAAAAAGCGAGGGCAAGATCGTGGCTTAGGTTTCTGATTTCCGTTTCGACAACATGTGGATGAGCAGTAGAGTGCGCTTGGTGGCCTGTAGCGATATGATGTTCGCGATCGTTATCGCTGGGCGTGTACCGGAGTCGGTGATGATGGTTTGCACCTGCTGTTCTCGATGATCGCGGCATCTTCGTATAAAAGCTGTTCAGCAATATTCGTATCCTGTTCCTCAGAGAGGTAAGGGAACCTTGTCGGGTGCAGAAGGGCCTAGCTATAGCAGATGATGATAAGTGCAAGCTGATATAGTAATTGTCAAGAAACTAAAATCGATGTCTTGACAACAGAAGGGTACAAGGACAAATTGCGGAAACGGCGTACTTTATGCAAAGGAAAAGAGTAGGAGACGTGACACTTGATTCAAGGAAGGAATTCTGCGTGAAGTTGCGCGGTATGCGTGAAGCGACTCACAGTATTGAAGCGTCGTCGCCGTAACAGAAAAGCTAAATTTGATGCTCGTGTACTAAAAGAAGAGGCGAAGGTGAATGCGCTCAGCACACAGCACGCGCACAGATTATCATACCACTCTACACGTAGGTTCCAACAGCTAACAAGGGGTATACAACAGCTGCGAATGTCTAATGACGTGGATGAAAGGCGCAAACAGCATTGCGAACGCATGAGAAGATGATACATTCGCCACGTTGTACCTACAAAACAATGTCTATGAAGCTTGACAACAGAGCCGCGAAGGGCTTAAACCATATCTGGGTATACCGTGCATGATGCCCTTGTAGTAATGCGCCGTACAGAAGAAGAAGAAGTGAAGCGCCAAAAGTCCAAAACGAAACCTAAACTGAACTCCACCTGGCCTTCAGCCGTACAAGGACCGATAATCGCTAATGAACTGAACACGTTGAACCTCAGGCCGTGAAAAAGGAATCATGACTCTAGAAAGATTACAAGATTGTAAAGGGGAGTCGTAGCACCGTGAAGTCGGTACCACCACGTGTTGAATGCCAAGCTCCATGTCGCAGAATAGCCGGGCGCCATCATGTCGCTGTGCCGAACGCCCAATGTAAAACACTTTTAGTTACCAACCCGTTCGGAAACACGACCGCGCTCAATCTGCTCCACGCGACCTTTGGAGTCGGTGCGCTTCATGCGAGATCGAGCCAACGCAGCTGCGGCTTCCTCGTGTTCCCTAGCCAAACGTCTGAGGGCGATTTTGGCTTCTTCAAGAGGTATGCTGTCGCTGCGCTTGGGACTGCTCTGTCTTGAAGGGCGTTGGCTAGTCGGGTTTGACGTAGGAGTCGGAGGCTGGTAGCGGAAGCTGTTGGCCCTTGTGCTAGCAACGCTGAAGCCGTTCTTGGTGCTACCAGGACGGCTAGTGCGATACTCAGTGCTTACTGACTCTTGGCTGCGGTTGTCGGCATCGCGAGCGGGAGAGTTCTTTCGGGACCGAACGTAGTTGGGATCGTCGCGCTTGATCATGTGACGGAATTGCTGTGTTTGCTGATCGAAGACCCAACGTTGATAGCCCGCGGCGCCATTTGCGTTCCCAGGAATGAAGGTGTCGTGTTCGTCCCAGCACTTGACCCAAGCCACGTCGTCGACCCGGAAGAAGCCGGCTTGTACTTCTTTGCCTTTGTCGTTCTTGATCATGACAGTCTTCTTGCGCTTGTTGAACTCGGGCTCTAGGAAATAACGACCAATGGCATGGGAGTATTTCAGGGGAACAGGACGGTCCAGGGGAACGTACACTCTACCAGTTGATGACTTGATGTATGAACTGGGGTGGCCTTCTGGCTTGGAATCGTCCTTGAGAGTTGCGATCAGAAACCAGCCTCGTCCGGGGATACTCTCGTACTGGCCGGGTACTGGGCTGGTCCACTCTTCAACGACCTTGGATGACTGCTCTGCCTTGTTCGACTTGAACCACTTGTGGGGCGCAAAGGCCTTTTGAGTGGCTATGAAGAGGTTGGGCGCCATGTCGATGGTTTTCGAATAACGTTTGATAAAATTCTTCTGGTCACTGTCGGTGATGTCCTCCGGGGACAGTCGGCAGTGGTGGTGGGTCTGAGATTCCGGGGGTGGCAAGTACTCCGGAAAGTTCTTGAAGCAGAGTCTGCCGTCGGGTAAAGCACGTGGTCGTGATCGTCAGTGGCAACGTTGGATGCTGCGAGGTTCCGCTTGAACAGAGGCGAGTTGGTAGACGAGGTATGGAAATCCGGTACTTCAGAAGTGTGTTGTGAAAGTGACTAGCCGAAGACCGCCGGTCACTGCGTGCAGGTGCACGACTGTGTCGCTATGAGGAGCGAGGCAAGCCTTCGACGAGCGTGGTTCACTGAGTGCGCGTGAAAGGAGGAATCTCGAAACAAAGACGCTGGGGTGTCGAAATATTTAAAAGACGGGAGCTAATTTAGTGCTGGGTCTGAAAATCTTTCCCAGGCTGACGGAAGGAAATTGGGATGCGCTTCGACCTACCGTGGGTACAAGTGTGGACCATGTACCGGGGAGCAATAGTCAGACATCTAAGGCCAATGCCAACGTGAGCACCGAGTCCTCGCACGTCGCCCCCGAGCGTATCGGACCCTCAGTAAAACGGGCCTCATCAGAAATTCGTCATGACACACTGCCTCAATCAGCTCTTCTCAGCGGTACACGTTCCCGGTTCTTTCCTGTCGCGCGCCCACGGATCCGCTGATTGTCGTGGTGGCATGCCAGGCTCCGCATTCGTGCCTCCCTCGCAGCAACCCACATGCGTTGATAGAGTGCCGCCCCGGGCCAATCACCTGGGGTGCCAGCCACTCGTGGACAGATAATGCCAGATAACGCGACGCAGCCAGGTCGATTGTCCAGCAGTCGCCTGGGAGTGTGAAATTGCAAGGGCAGGCACAGACTGAGGGCAGCTTCAGAGCGGTGTGATGCTGGGTTGAGGTGTGCGGATGCGAAAGGGACTGAGTGGACCGACAGGCGTTGCTAGATCGTGCGCGGAACTTCCGTAAGCGCAGCCGGTAGCGAGGCGCTCAACATGTCCGCCGTCGATGGAACCAGGAACCATGACAAAACAACGGACTCGGAGCCCCGGGTCGCCTGAAGCAACAAAGAGCTCTCTTCTAAGCAGCTTGCATGTTTCGACAATCTGATGCGTGCGTCAAAGCAGAGTAAGCGCCAGCCTGCGCAATTCAACCTTCCTCAGATCGCCTTCCCCGTACTTGCAACATTCGCTCCGATTCTCCAACGTCGTGAAACATTCCATCTCCACACCCATGCCAGACAAGCAAATAGACAGCCAAAACCCTGCCTACAACGCCCTGTGCCACGCGACAAATACCGGCCTTCCTTTGAGCCCACGCGGCGCCTCACTTGCTCCTACGCGGCTGCACCCAGCGTACGTGCGACGGCGCCAAGAAGCAACCATGGCTCTTGCGCTGCCCCTTTGTGACTCGTACGGCTGGTCATACGGCTTTACTATCAGACTCCTTATCAATGTGCGTCGAGTTCACTCATCAATCTGATGGCGGTGAGTAGGTTGAGGAGTGGACATGGCTTGCGGCTGCGTATCTTCCGAGCAGGCGACGCGCTGAGTTGGTGTGCGCATGCGGAAACGTGCCCGTCAGCGATGTTGATGCTTAGGCAGCTCAAGCAATTGACCAAAATAACCGGTAGTATTTCATCCAACAGGCATCTGCATAGTGCTAGCATGCAGGTTCGATGCTGCTTGTCGATGGCATGAATGCGAAGTCGACGTCAAGGTATACTGGTCGCCGGTAAAAGGCTTCTGCGATAAAAGTCTAGCTGAATATTGCAACCCACTCAACAACATGGATGCAGTACCATTAGCTGAAAGAAGTACAGCTCGCAAGACTGAGCAACAAGCGGCGCGGCATATTTTACCGCAAGCTTTAGTCGTGATCTCGATAGCCATGACCTGATCTGTGGCATGTGAAGAAGATCAGCCTGATTGATGCGCATTCGATGCTTGGCGCAGAGTACATGCAGCATCCAAGGCACTCTACGGACGATACCGCAACACATACGTTTGTTCTGCGCGGCCGGCAGTTTGGGTTGCGAAATCAAAGCGGCTCTGCAGTTAGTCTAAGATCAAAAAGCATCGCATCATACGTCATCGAGGAGATCCTGATTTGGCTCGTTTTTTCATTGCATTCCTACTGCTCCTGTCCCTTGATATCTTTGGTCATTCCGCAGTAACATGTCGCAATGCTTTTTGAAGTGCATGCCTCTCCCCATACCGTATCGAAGGGTACCGTGAGCCGAAGAGGATGAAAAGCCTTCCCATTGAGATCGTAACTAATCAGAGAGACGCCTTGTATGCCCCGCCCCAAAGTGAAAATCCGCACCCATCTACGACTCGGTCTTGACGCGGGCCTTGCCGTTGGTAACCTTGACACCGATCTGCTTCGCCCTGGCGATGATTTCGATGCGCTTTCGTGCTGATACAGCGTGGGCGATCCTGCAGGATTCATTAGTA